CAGCAGGAACTGTGAGATAAATCATGCCGTCCTTACTTTCACAAAACCCGCACTGACTTCAGTGGGAGTTTTGCCAAAATAAGGTCTGCTGGATTTAGTTCTGTATTCTTCCTCCTGACAGAAGCAGAAATTAAAGGGCCAGGATCAGATTTAGCATTCACAGAGAATAAAAAAGACCTGTAATTATCTTTACCTAAATTAACAACTTTCATCCAACACAAATCAATGTTCCATTAGACACAGTCTAATTTATAACAAAAATTACATGTTTGTGGAAGCTTTTCTCAGCACAAAAAAATCAAAATACACAGGTTGTTAGCAATGTGGTTTGATTTTGATTAGACATCTAGGAGAGGCTGTCTTGCACAAATCCAGTGCTGGAGTATTTATAGTGTTTATCATTAAAATACAACTTTTTGCATTACCTTATATTTAAAGGCATTATTTAGATTTATTATTACAAAAAGAAGTATCTCTTTACCTTTTTTTGCATGTCCATTCCTCATAGTTTTGAAAATAGAATGTTTTTGCAAATCAGGATACCTACAACCAAGAACTAGAGTTCTTTTCCTGCAAATGGATTTACTCAAGCCAATGTCTATTACACCGTTTCAGCTCTGTCTTACAGAAGAACATGTCATTTTTAAGCTTCTAAATTTTATTGGAACTGCTCAAGTTTTAAAACCACTCATTAATTCAATAAGCACTTAATTAGGTCTACTCTTGAAATAGGATAGAGCCAAATCCTGCACATTTTGCTAATACCAGAAAAAATGCAGTTGATAGAGGAGTATGGAAAATGGGATCTTACCAGTTTTCAAAGATAAATTCCTTTCCTTCTCCCTACTTCTTTTCCCTGGAATGGAATAGACAGTATGCCTGGCACTTAGGGAGTGACGACAACAAAACCATAAAGGCATACATCATGTACAAATACTAACCATGTAAGGGAGGTAATGAAGGAATTCATCTCACAATTTCTTCATCATGAATTTTACAACTGGGTCATACTGAGAAAACCCCCACAAAATTCTTAAGATTTTCTGCAATTAAAATGTGTAGGTTTTTAATGTTTTGTTTTTTTTTTAACTGGATTACTGTTTTTTAAATAGCAGTCGAAACTCAAAGGTTGTAAGATACAAATAACTCAGCAGTTTACTTGGTTTACACTATTGCAGCATTTCCTGGTGAGTAAACTAGCGTTTAGGCATTTCTTTGCAGTTATCACAGAAATTTCAGAGCCATTAGTGAAGAAATACCAAAAGCAAAAAGGGCCAATTAATTTTGGCTTCTAACAATTGAAAATTCAAAAATTAAAAATAAATTATAATGATGCATTTTGCTTATCAACCACTATTTAAATGATGCATTGCTCCAAGACTGCATTCTGTGGAGTGCGGCATTCAAAAATTTTGAATTGTTTTAAGTAGTTATAATATGTTGTATCCATCTCCCTTATTCCATGTTTTCAAGCTTGCCGTGTTTTTATAGCATATTAAAAAGAAAACAGAACTGTGTCAGAACATGGAAAGTCACCCACAGACAACCTGTTCCTCTAATATTT